AGTTCTGTAAGACGTTGCAGCGAACTGAACATGGGGGGAAATACTGAGGAGAGGAGTAGTTGGTATAGGATCAGTACTGGACTGCTCATTGCAAGGTTAGTAGTTCAAACCCATCAGTCACTCCTCAGAAACCCTATCCGGGGTCACTAAGAGTCAGCATTGACTCCACGGCCACGGCACTTCATAGCACTTTAGGAAAGCAGGACATTTGGGCTGTCTTCAACCTCCACCTCCATAGGGACAGTCTTGAGCTGATCTTTCTTAAAAGAAATTATACTGCTGCTGTAGCTGTTGTTAGGTAGCTCGAGGACCTAATAACAGCAACAACTAAAGTCAAAGTCTACATCGACTTGGAGAGGCTGTTGGTAGAATTATAGACGTCAAAAGCAACTTGGGTGAGGGCTCAGAAGGAACTGAGCAGAGCCACAGAGCACGTCTCTATCATCTTAGAGAATACATATGGTGCTAGCAACAAAATGGTGCCAGAAATATGGATGTTGAAAATGCTTCTTTTAATGTTAGTTGTTGTTATGTGCCGTGGAGTCAGTTCCGACCCATAGCAACCCTGCGCAGGGTTTCCGAGGCTGTAAATCTTTATGGGAGCAGAAAGCCTTATCTTTCTCCCACGGAACAGCTGGTAGTTTCGAACTGCTGACCTCGAGGTTAACAGCCCAGTTCATAACCACTACGCTACCAGAGCACCTTTCTTTTAATGTAGTGAGGCTTTAAAAAGAAAATGATGTTGCTATTAGGTGCTGGAGATTCAGTTCCAACTCACAGTAACCTGATGTACAAAATAACAAAGCACTGTCTAGTCCTGCGTCATCCTCACAGTCACCGATATGCTTGAGCCCTCTGTGGCAGTCCATCCTGTTGAGGCTTTTCCTCTTTATCGTTGACTCTCTACCCAGTATGATGCCCTTCTCCAGGGACCAGACCCTCACCATAACATTTATATCCAAAGTACATGAGATGAAGTCTCGTCATCAATGCTTTTAAGGAGCATCCTGGTGGTAATTCTTCCAAGACAGGTATGTTCATCCTTCTGGCAGATCTTTCACCATTATTCAAATGCAGCAATTCTTCTGTGGTCTTCCTTACTCATTGTCCAGCTTTCACGTGCATATGAAACAACTAAAAATATGATGGCTTGGATTGGGTGCACCTTAGTCCTCAAAGTGACATCTTTGCTTTTTAACCTTTAAAGAGGCCTTTTGCAATAGAGTTTCCTGACGTAGTATGTCTGTGACCGCAGCACTAGGCGATTAAGGCAATCATAGAAATCAATGATTCTCACATACTTTGGTTTCAAGTCCCTTTTAGACTCTCAGAAATCAATGACTCCTTCAAAAAGCTTTCTTTACATGACTGACACGTATTGATAAGTATACGAATTACATGTATTAATCATTTAATTTTTGATATTAAAAATTAAAATGGAGGAAAAGATAAGACTATCAGTACACATTCGATGTACTGTCAGAACGCTGACGTCCTCACTCATCGCATAGCCTCTGGATAATTCCATTGGACCCTCGTGAGAGAATGAAGGCCAAAAGCAGATTCTGTGAACCACAGCAGGAACATGTGTATGTACAGGCTGGAAGCATGAAGCCTGCCTAGCAAATCAAAGATAAACTCACAGCTGCAGTTTATACTGCTGCTGAGTTTCCTCATTTTGACTCCTTACTCTTTGGGCCATTCTCTTTTTTGGTGTTTGTCTTCACACTTACTGTCTGGCGTTAGATGGCGAGATCAAGTCCTAAAAAAAAAAATGTAAAAGCTTTTTGATGAGTAAAGGCCAATATAATACGGTTCCTTATGGTTGTATGTAGAACAAAAGTCAGCGTCTTCTCATCTGAAGTGTTACTAAGACGATTGTTGGAAATCAGGGAAACAAAGATTGTAAGACATGATGACAATATTCATCATTTCCTTTTTCTGTTGATTCTCCTGTGCCTTTAGTATAGTGTTAAATTTTATATGAAGCCTGATCTGAAGACAACAAAGCACAGCCAAGTTGACTAAACTTGTTTCCCCAAACACCTTTATTGCCCCTGTAGCGGCAGACAAATCACCTATCGCTCCCCGAGGTGGGCCCTCTGTCTCTCGATGGGACTTGTGTGCAATTTTGGTTTTATTTTCCTTTAAGCAGCTGAGGCAGTTTCCTCATTATCTAGAACCTGAAAGAAGGTTTCAGGTTTCCCCTGAGATATTCAGAGAAACACGATGGTACTGAAGTACAAATATTAATGTTTTTATAACTTGCTGTTTGCTTTCTATGTTGTTCCTCAACTGATTTGTGAATTATACAGTATAATGAGGATAAACATTTTCTTAACAAACTTAAAAACATCTAGATAGACTGAAAGTACTCTATGTACTACAGTGAGAAGAAAAACATTATCTTTATTTTGAAGCACTTACTCAAACTCCTTGCTAATAGAGTCCATTCAGTCCTACCGGAGAAAGTGTGCATCTGGGAACCCAATGCTGCGTTAAGACCCTTTCATTTTCCCTTTTCCATCTTTTATAAACAAGTGGTCTAAAGCATTAGTCCAGGAAACAGAAATTTTTGTGGTTGCTGGCAAAGACACTTAACAAGTAAAATTTCTAGGGAAGAAAAAGGAAGGAATGTATTTTATTTTCTCAGTTAATGACCAATTTAAAAGAGAAGGACAATAACACCATGGTTTCAGATGGGCAAACCACTCTTTGGAGCAATGACAATGATCAACAACACTAAGGTATCATGAAAGAAGAATGTAGTACAGTGCAAACTTTGAAGGTTACTACTGGTTTCTTTCATCACTTTTCAGATCTGTGGCAGGAAGAACGATTCATGGTTATCAGTAGGAGTACTGACTCGATGCTAACCACCCTCTTCACTGACTCGATGCTAACCACCCTCTTCACTGACTCGATGCTAACCACCCTCTTCAATTAACTCCGAGGAGAGGCAGTGAAATTCAAGCTCATAAACCCACTTGGAAAACATGGTGATTTGCAAAGTCGCATATACACAGATGCTAAAATAGGGACCATGAATGGCAGATTCCAAATGGAATTTTTCCAGCATCTCTAGGAAGCAGATGCTCTTAAGAAATTCATTTGTACTTATTGAAAATTTTGTGCAAGAAAAAAATAGCCAATCAGTAACTCTGAAAATGGTAAAGTTCAATGGTAGAATTCACATTTCTGAAGTGAATTCAAACTTGGGAAGTGTCCTTTTACTGACAATTCCAGGATTGTCAAGTTGTACTATTCTATCTGACCCATTTTCTCCATTAAACATTTATTTTATGAATCTCTTACAAGAAGAGAATGCTGCTAGCACAATCTCAGGCCTTTCTGAGTTCAATACATGTTAGTGGAATGAATGGCACAAAAATATGACTTAAATCATATGATGTTGTTGTTGTTGTTAAGTGCCGTTGAGTCGGTTCCGACCCATAGCAACCCTGTACAGGGTTTCCGAGGGTGTAAATCTTTATGGGAGTAGAAAGCCTCATCTTCCTCCCGCGGAGCCAGACAGAAACAACACAGCACTAACAGACAGACCACATTCAAGTTCTTAATAAACATAATTCCCCACTGCCACCTTGGCACTCAACTGAAGTTTCCAAGGAGCCACCTGAAAAAAGCATTCTTATTATAACAAATCAGGGCAAGTATAGAATTAAGCGAGCCTTTGTGCACATTTTAAAAGGTTCAGATTATTTAATTAGCAGGAAAATGATAAAAGATACTTCACGTGTTTTTTAAGAGAGAAGGTCTTTGGAATCATAAACTTCATACCTTGAACATAACACACATACACACACACCTCTTTCTCTACATAAAAGAAAAGAAAAATAGCTCCAACCAGGTTGTGGCTGCACACAGCTATCTTTGTTTATCAGCGACTGATATCCGGACTGGGTGCTGTTCCCACAGTCTCCTATCAGCCAACCATTTAGAAATGAAACAAACCACAGGAAACAAGTAAAACAACGCTCCAGCTGTCTGGTATGTATCACCACTTTAGACGCAGAATTTAAAGTTCTCTAATCAAAGTTCCTCGGGTCAGTCCACTAAGTTGATGAACTTCTTCTGTGATTTCTGATAAGACTAGTGTTAGCATCGTCTTCTAGGCCATGTTCCAAAACATAAGAATGGTAACAGGTAGTGGGATCCTTCTATTAGCGTATAATACTCCTTAGGGTTTACTCCATCATCACCCTCTTGGCTCAGGTGCCAGTAAGTTCTTCATCTTTACAGGGAGTGGGACAAAGGTGACCTGCCATTGCTGCACTCCTCTGAGCAGGGCTGACTACAGGCTAGAGTGACTCACTGACCACAGAACAGTCAATTCGATTCTCGTTCCCAGGAACTGAGAACTAGAACTTAAAGACCGCTCATGTAGCAAAAGGCACTAGATACAAAAGGGTATGGTAAGCGGGGTAGGGGAAGGGCTGGGGTTACTATTTTAGGTCCAAGTAAACGTATGAGCAAATACAGAAACCCGGCTTTCAGAAAGCAGCAGCAGAAAAATAAAGCCAAAGCAAAAAGCAGCAGAAACAGGAACTCAACAGCCCCAGAAAGACAGCATATTCTGGAAACCAACAGTTTTTTTAATTCAGGTTCTTTCTAGGTCTCTGTGATAATCCAGGTATACATCCTCTCCTTGAGCTCATTGAGAAATCTTTGCATACGTCCTACAAAGCTGCTCCTTCCTTTTGTGTGTGTGTGTGTGTGTGTGTAACTTGTTTGAGTGGATTTCTTGAAAAAGATAAGATTACTAATTACTAACTATTGATAATAGTTTAGGATTGATTTTCTTGAACCAGTTGCTACTACCCATTTAACATGTTTCCCTCAACTTGAGACACGGACCTTAAGTATTAAAGGTTTCTGGGGCACCAAGAGTTTAGTCTGATTTTGAGAGATGGGCATATTACTGTTCACAAATTTAACAAAGAAAAGAACACTTTTATCGGTAAAGTAAGGTAACTACTTACATAATCTGGTAGAGGGACATCACTGGAACTCAATGGACCTCTCAGTGACTGGGTGGCTTGTTCCAAGACTTTGTTGTGTTTTTTAGACAGCAAAGAAAACAAACTGGGGGGAAAACACACACACAAAAACATTCAGTTATGCTAAAAGAACTAAATGTCTACTGTTCTAGGTTCCACAGCATGTCAATTATTCAAAACATACCTGGTAAATAACCATGATTCTTTGCTCATGCTTGTGTTAACAGAAGGATTAACGATACTATCTATGTAATGAAAAATGAAGTGATGAGGATGTTTAAATTGAAAGCGTTCTGAAAAAACATTTTTTTGGATGGTTTAAGAGTTAGAAAAACTGCAGCGTGGACTGATTGTATGACTAACTCACAGTTACAATGCATGAGGCCTGAGTTTATTGCATCTCATTTTTCCCATTTTCTACTAAGTGTGTTGGATTCGATTATTTCTTTAGAATAATCAGAGTTTATGATTCTGTATTATGGCTTTCCATACTTATTTCTCAAAAAGAACAATTTTAAACATCTGCATTTTAAGACTCTTGCATCTGGCCATCATGGATTAACTAGTAGCAGACTAACCCTTCTGCTGGAAACAACTCAAATCCTGGAAAAAATATATAGGAAACAACTGTTTTCCTATGTCATATAACATCTGAAATGCAGAACTGTGATCTCCAAAAAAAAGGAAAGGAAAGGAAATACACACGAGCTGCCCCCATCATGGCTGAGAGTCTCTGCTTAGAGGTACAAACCACAGAGCTCAGTGAGATGAGACCCCAACAGTGCTTAACAGAGTGATGCTGATAAGTGAGGTTGGAGCTGAGGAAGCATCTGGGATTTACAGAGCTGAGACTTACAAGAAAGGAACTCATGAAATCTGACTAAAAAAATAAGCTGTACTGTGTAGAGCAAGACCCCTCAAGGAAGAGCAACAAACAACAACCTAGGAACTGTGAAGTGAACAAAGATTTTGGAGGTCATAAAAGGCAGAACGATGTTGGAATTCTAAACAGCCAGGATGGATAAAACTCATTGGACACCATAGACATTCCACTGGATTCCCAGAATGAGTATGTTTCAGGAGTAAGGCAATTCTACTCACAGGAAGGGCTCTACTCTCTCTGCACCCTGATGAAGCTAAGTGAACAGTCTTCAAACTGATCGACAAGTAAGTTAGCTATCTGCCAGAACAAAACTGAACAATTCTTGAAGACAACAAAATCCAGACACTCAACAATGTGGCATCCACAGTTTCAAGCAAACAGTAAAATCTACTAGACATGATGAAGTTGAAAAAACACATGACTCATATAAAGAGGAAAAGAAATCAGCCAATAGAAAGCGATCCTAGAAATGCTGGAATTAACAGCTATTTTAAAATGTTGAAAAATTTAAAGAAAAACATGAACATAATGAGGAAACAGATGGAGAATATCAGTAGAGATGAAAATGTTCTGGCATATAGCTAATTTACTTGTAGATAAGTTTTCTCTCTTTGACGTGTGTTCATTTAGGTTTGTTAGAATATCTACAGAAGAATCCTTACTTTGGGTTACAACAGCTTTCCTCCTAAAGGAGTGTGTTTGTTCAAGGTACTCTATTACCTATTTGGCTTTGGGGCTATAACTCCTTGTTTTATTTTTCAGTTACTGCCTGAGTTTATAATATGCATACTTACATTACCACAATCTTCCTTAAGTTAATATTAAATTAATTCATGTGTAATATTAAGACCTTATAACACAACACTTTTCTTTCTCAATGTTAGAAAAGAAAGGAGGCGGTCTAAGGTAACCCTTATCATTAACTTAAGAAAACTATTAAACAAATCCTAGGAGCCAAGCAAAACGAATCTTTAATTATTTTCTTTGGAAAAGAAAGGGTAGTTTGTTTATTTTGAAAGTGAATACTAACAATCTGTTCTCCTTGTCAGCAGAAGACCAAATAAGGAAGTGAACTTCAATAACGCAAGATATTTCCGTTATAGACAATGAACATTTTTACTACTGTAGGGCATAAAATGTTGAACTGATCCACGCAACAACCTAGGAATACTGCTCTCCAGCTATCTTTAAGAAAGTTTTTGTAAGGACCAATTATTTGAGGTCACTTTCAGTTTTCTGATGATCATGAATGAGAAACAGAGAATTCACACTTCAAGTTCTCATTCTTACACAATTTAATAAGCTTTTCCTCATCAGATCTTAGAACTAGAGACTTCAGAGATTTTTTTTTTTTTTTTTTAGCTTTCTAGTTTTGACTTTCCTTTAGCATTTTCAAGACAAAATGACCTAAATTCATCTGAGGCATGACGTGCAAATTGCTCAAAGAGGAAAGTACCATTTGCATAAAACTTTACATTCAAAGCAGTAGCCCTTGCTTAGTCCTCATTAGAGTAAATGGCAGTGACACATGATTTGCGCACAAAGGGGTGAATCTAATTTTTGAAATAAATGAAATTGGTCTTCAAGTATTCACTCAGTAAGAACAGAGCTGTCAGAAAACTTTAGAAAATTAGAAAGACTTGATTTTTCTTCATGTACAAGAATGTTATCTATAAACTGACTTAATAAACAAAAAAGAATCAGCACATGAATCAAGACTGGAACAGGTTAATAAATTGTCAGCTATTCATACAATGACATACAGTATTTGTTGTTGTTAAGTGCCATACGGTTGGTTCTGACTCATAGCGACCCAGTATCAGGTTTCGGGGGCTTTAAGTCTCCAGGGTAGTAGAAAGCCTCATCTTTCTTCCACAGAGTGGCTGGTGGGCTCGAACCACAGACCTTGTGGTTTCACAGTTCAGTGCTGATTGTATGGAGCCACTGTACTCCCGGAATACAATATAGCAATTTGAAATTATTTAACGCTACATGCATCAATATGGCTAAACCTCAAATGCTGAATAAAACACAAGCTCAAACCCTTGTAAAACAATGTAAACAAGATGATATCATTAATATACAAATATGTATTGCTTATCTTTTATAGATGATACATATGAAGTAGTAAAATATATATGAAAATGACAAACACTACTGGTAGTCCTGGTAAAGGATAAGCACTAGACTGTTAACCACAAGGTCAGCAGTTCAAACCCACTAGCTGCTCTCAGAAGATTTAAACAGTTTGGCTATGACTCAAAACACCAAAAACAACCATCACTTGTAGGGTATCTATTCTTTCCCAAGAAAAGAGGGAAGGAAATAGAATCTGGAAGGAAAGCATAGATTCATATGTATACATCATGTGCATATAGGGAATTCACATGTGATTCTTTATTTTCTATGTGTGTGCCTGAAATTATAATTTATTAAAACCTGATTACAAGAACACACTGAGCTGGAAAAAACAGAGTCCCTGCCAGCAGATAACATTTCACAAATGAAAGATGCACACAGAAAGAAGGGGTGTGGCCAGCCCAACCTAGAACATGCCCAGAAAGTCAAGTTACTGAGAATGGTTCCAGGTTAGGGTGCACAGGTGGTGGCAGGAAATGAGACCAGAATGAAGACAATTTGAAAACAGAGTGTGAAGAGCTGCTTCTTGTTGTTAAATGACGTCTAGTTGGTTCCGACCCACAACGACCCTGTACAGGGTTTCCTAGGAGTGGCTGGTGAGCTTGAACTGCCAACCTTGTGGTTCAAACCAACTTTGCAGTCCAGTGCACTAATCCGCAACGCCAAGATACATTAAAAGCTAATAAAAAACTCATGGAATGCCAGTCATACAAAATGATGAATGAGACGTGGTTGAGTGCTCCTAAGGTGCACAAGTCTAGTAGGAGACAATACTGGAATTAGAACACGTCATGGGTCTGAAGAGAGTGCTGTGGCAACAGAGGAAGGATAAGGGGTTTGCTTCTTGGGAAAAGTAAAAGGAGAGGGAGAGCAAGCCAGGGACGGTAAATAGCGCACAGCAAGGCAGAGAGAAACTTCAGAGAAGTACCAATAGCGTACAAGGCAAGAATCGTGCGTGCCCACAGGGGAGATGAAGATGGCCCTCAATGGGAAGTAACAACGTGTTGTGCTTAGACCTTGGATGTCATTCTGAAAGCCACAGGTGTTCTATGACAGCAGGCCCACAATACTATAAAAAGATAGGGGTGTAGGGCAGGAAGTGGGAAGGAACAGTGGCTGGTTCCTCTTAGTTCACACCTGTGTCTTCACGTCTCCTATGGGCTTGCCAATCTCAGGGTGGCCGTAAAGTCCCTGCCATGAAAGCCCAGGGCCCCTCATACCACTGACCTGAGCAAAGGCACAATTACATTTAGGTTATAGGAAGCTTCCTCTGTCTCCACAGGGAAGGGTGAGCAGGAGACCACCAAAGAACAAGAGGAGAAGTGGAAAGATCCTTTAGGAAACTTTTATGTGAGAGATCAAGAGGCCTTGAAGTAAAGCAAGCATGTATTATTTGGAAGGCAGAACAGACAATACAGAGTGTACAATACACAGTGACTCTGAGGTTTCTCATTTGGGAAACTTAGTGGCTAGCTGAATGTGACTCAACATGTTGTTGTTGTTGTTGTTAGGTGCCATCGAGTCGGAACCGACTCATAGTGACCCCATGCACAGCAGAACGAAACAATGTCCAATCCTGGGCCAACCTCACTACTGCTGCCACACTTGATGCCATCAATGATGCCACCTGGCTGATCCATCTCATTGGGGGTCTTCCTCTTTTTCTCTGACCTCCACCTTATCCAGCATGACATCCTTCTCCAGAGACTCAACATGTTAGGGATATCAAAAGAAGAGCTGAAGGGTAGGTGGGAGCCCAGGAAAATAAAGAGCTGTGCTTTGAAAAAAAAATAACAGTAGCAACAGCAGCTAAAACATCTCTGGTGCTTACTGTATACTGAAGAGGTAGATACTATCCATCCTTTTTCTCTAAGGGATGATGGTATTGAGGCAGAGGGAAGTCACGCAACTTGCCCATGGCAGTAGCTACTAAGTAGTGGAGTCAAGAGTTATACTGAGGCGGGCTGGCTCCAGAATCTTGCTGTTACCAATTCTGCCATGAAACCTACATGGGCTCAGGAATATTCAAGCCAAAGTGATTAAAAAATACCCAGGTAGGTGGT